GATTAAAGTCTTGGGTTTTTTTTCTTTCCTTTTTCCTCAGAAAGTAAGTGTGTGAGGGAGGGACAGGAAAGGTAGAGTAGTAGTTCATCTAGATTTTCTAGCTTCCCTGTCACATCAGATGACTGACTGGGTTGTTGGTAAATTACTCTAATTGCTCTGTTTTGTTGACCTTGTATATGTACTATTTAAGTACACTGAGAAGCTGGGATTAGAGAGTGCTGGCATGGTGCATGCAGTCAGGCCTCAGAGTGGAGCCTGGGAAGAACAGGTAAAGGAGAACAGAGAACAAATGCGAAATGAAGAAAAGGAGAAGGATGTTGGAGGTGGCTGAGGAACAGGAGGGAGTGCTATCGGACACCAGGAGACACGTAGGACCCAGTGGGATGACAAGCTTCAAAGGACACCCTAGAAGGCTACGAACACATTCAACGGGTACACATAGATTCTCTCAACAAAAGGGAAAAGAGAAAGCCAAAATCATGTCTTTAAAAGCCTTCTCTCCTGTCTTCCCTTCCATCACATAATTTTCTGAAAATTCATTATGGTATAGTTTCCTCACCTTTTGGTCCTTGCCCATTGATGAGATGGCATGTGTCCCATTTTGCAAAAACCTTGGCACATTTGGTTAGGGCATTAGCTGCGCTCACAGACTGGACATTCTGCTTATCTTACATACCATAGCAGCATAAAAAACTAGAAAAAAATACCTCGATTCTATGAAATGAGCAGAAATTCAATGTATTTAGCACTTACAGAAATGAAGGATCTGTTGTTTTAATCTCCATGAACAATTGAGAATTGCTGGCCATTTTAATACAAACAGTATACAAATGCATATTTTATAAAGCAATCTGTGTTATAAAAAGTGTAGCCTGCGAAAGCTATGAGTGTGAGTTAGGAACATGAGCTGTGTAAAAGCTTTTCACATGGGCAGCACAATAAAACTTCCCTCACACAGGGAATAATTAAGGTGGGAGATAGTGCATTCACAATTAGCAAGGCATGTTCAGTCTCTTCATTATCATTTTAATTAGCAAATATTAATGTAATCTGCAAATACAAGGAGGAAAACAACTAAAATTACTAAGTTTAAGGAGTCCTTCATGACCTAAACTAAATTGAGACAAATCTCTTACTAATTGACACTGGTCACCAACTTTCAGGACATTCATTTCCATTCACTGTTAAAACTTCCAAGCGTGTTACCGAATTTAAGAACAAATTAAGGCTCCCACAAGCTACATCTAACCTCTGATGAAGGCAATGGTGAATAAAAATGGATTGGCATGCTCCTCTCCTCTCCAGTTATCAGTTCAGACTGATAGTGATCAAGTGACCGTGGCAGCTCTGCCTCATTCAGATTCCACGCCTGCCGCTGTGGCAAAAACCCAGGGACATGCAGAACACACTGCCCTCTCGTTTTTAGTGGGCTCCTGGTCCTTCTATATTCAAGATATGCTGGATGGAGCCTTAGCCCTTTTGAACTCAACAGCAGCTCCCATTCATTTCACTGGGACTAGGATTCATGCCCTGACTCAAACAGATTTCCTCTCGGGTGCTTGTCCTTTTTCTGCTCTGAAGATAAGGCACTTCGGCCTCCAATACACTCAGTGCTACATCTTACATGGACAACAACTAAAAGATACAGAAGTTTAAAAGAAGCTGCCTCCTAAAAACTATAACCCTCTCTCAGTCTGATTTTCATATTTAACACTCTAAAGATAAAATAATAACTAATGTGTTCAACACACTTATAGGACTGAATATCGTGAAGTGGTAAAGTATTTTCATTCTCTATAAAAGCTGCTATGTGAATGAATTTCATTCATGAATAGAATAATTGCAATTTTATAAAGAAAAAGAAGTAGCAGTAAGTGGAAGTCTGATAGTATTTCTCATGACTGACAGTGCTATAACTGATCAGAAACAACTTTTAGAAAGAGTTAGTTTTTTTACATTAGCTTATTTTGCACGTTTGCATCGGTTATAAATAGTACACTGAGAGAGAGGAAGTGTCTGTGGAAAAAGCACCACTACCACCAAAACCCAACAACGTCATTAGATATTTTGCCAACTAAGACAGTTTAAAGCAGGAGTCCCTGTAAAATATAATTTTACCACACAAGTACTTTTATCACACAGCAAGTATTTTGCAAAGCAGATACAGACCAAAGCATTTTACAATACAGACTGGAAATACATACCTGGCTTTCAAAGAGCTACCAACTGTTAATGTAATAGTTTCAGAAAAATCCAGTAAACCTCTAGCTCTATAATTTTTCTACACTCACATATGTTCATTTCACAAACCATTCCCTTTTCCTCTTCCATGCACATACAAGCACAAATAAACAACTTCTTCCTTGGGTATCCCAGGCAAAACTAAACATGTTTAGGACTTGTATTGGGTTTGCATGGCAAGGCTTTGGTAGCGGGGGGGCTACAGGGGTGGCTTCTGTGAGAAGCTGCTAGAAGCTTCCTCTATGTCCGGTAGAACCCATGCCAGCCGGCTCCAAGATGGACCCGCCACTGGCCAAGGCTGAGCCCATCAGTGACGGTGGTAGCGCCTCTGGGATAACATATTTAAGAAGAGGAAAAAAAAAACCAACTGCACAACCTCAACTGCAGCCGGAGAGAGGAGTGAGAATGTGTGAGAGAAACAACTTTGCAGACACTGAGGCCAGAGAAGAAGAAGGGGGAGAAGGTGCTCCAGGCGCCAGAGCAGATTCCCCTGCAGCCCGTGGTGAAGACCATGGTGAGGCAGGCTGTCCCCCTGCAGCCCACAGAGGTCCATGGTGGAGCAGATATCCACCTGCAGCCCATGGAGGACCCCACACCGGAGATGCCCAAAGGAGGCTGTGACCCTGTGGAAAGCCCATGCTGGAGCAGGCTTCTGGCAGGACCTGTGGCCCTGTGGAGAGAGGAGCCCATGCTGGAGCAGGTTTGCTGGCAGGACTTGTGATACTGTGGGGGACCCACGCTGGAGCAGTCTGCTCCTGAAGGACTGCACCCCGTGGAAGGGACCCACACTAGAACAGTTCATGAAGAACTGCAGCCCGTGGGAAGGACCCACGTTGGAGAAGTTCGTGGAGAACTGTCTCCCTTGGGAGGGACCCCATGCTGGAGCAGGGGAAGAGTGTGAGCAGTCCTCCCGCTGAGGAGGAAGGAGCGGCAGAAACAACGTGTGATGAACTGACCGCAACCCCCATTCCCCATCCCCCTGTGCTGCTCAGGGGGAGGAGGTAGAGCAAATCAGGAGTAAAGTTAAGCCCGGGAAGAAGGGAGGGGTGGGGGGAAGGTATTTTAAGATTTAGTTTTTATTTCTCATTACCCTAGTCTGATTTGATTGGTAATAAATTAAATTCATTTTCCCCAAGTTGAGTCTGGTTTGCCCATGATGGTAATTGGTGAATGATCTCTCCCTGTCCTTATCTCGACCCATGCGCCTTTCGTTATATTTTCTCTCCCCTGTCCAGCTGAGGAGGGGAATGATAGAACGGCTTTGGTGGGCACCTGGTGTCCAGCCAGGGTCAACCCACCACTGACTTTATTACAAACACACACAAGAAAATTTCCTTTTGAGTTAAAGGGACTGAAGGCTTGAAATTAATCTGAAAAATGTTCTTGCTTGTATAAATATCAGTTTTCACTGCAACCAAGCATGATTTTGAGGCCAGCTCACTGCTCTCGCCACTGCAGACATGACAGAAATTAAAATAATTCAATGCTCATTTAAATGGTAGCACACATTTAAAAGACACTTTGCTCAGAAACATCGCTTGCTTTAGTTTTTACACTGGGCAGGTTGGTAGAAAAGCAGTTATGTGGGATCAGAGGAAGAAAGTCTACTGGTCCATTTTGCTGTGCTCTTGATACCACGTCTTACCTCTTGTGTTTTCACATTTATATATCCATAATGAGTTCTCAGAGGCTGCCTTTGGCCATTAGAAAATGGTATCCATTTGACACTGGTTTGTCCAAAGCAGTTTAGGATTAAAGGGAAAGTTACTTCATTTGTGAGACGAACGATGATCAGACATAGGAATGCTGCAATGAAACTCACAGCAACAATGGACTTTCTCTGTAATGAAAAGAAGAAAGAAAATAAAGAAAATAAATTATTAAAATTAAGAATTGGTTTTAATAAAAAATACAATCTTCTGTTGTAGGATGAGGGAAAAACACTTTAGAAAGCTTCATGTGAAATTATTTTTATGGTAGTCACCTTGCTGCAGGAGCACAAGGAGACAGGTGACTGGATCATTTTGTTTCAATAAATTTGCATTTCAGAGGTTTCGAGAGTTTCTTTTAGAACTAGTTTAAATTTTATTTGCATTTGGAATGAAGAATTTTACGTAAACAGCCACACCAAAGTCTCCATTCAAAATCATCAGTGCTCTAGACACATAACAAATACACAAAGTGAAAATGCCATTTGCAGCTGTACACACAAAGTTTATTGTGAAGAAGATAATCACTACAGATTCTATTTATTGTGCGTTAATTTTAAATCGTTCCCGTGCAACAGAACTCATACTCTAACCTTAAATATTTTAGAATAAATGTGAAGTCAGCACAATGTTCTGCCTTATTCCAGGTTCATGAATTTACAAAGTGAGGCATTATTATCTTGGACAAGATGACCTCCATCGTTAATAATGTAACAGATCTCCAGCCTGTATCTAATTAACCTTTGCTTTCCACCTCTAACCTACCCAGTTGGTTGGACTGGTTAATGTAGCCATAGAACAATATCAACTTTTTCCCTGGGTAACTACCCAGTCTGCAGGAGAAAAAACTTATAACAAATATGATGCTCCCCTCATTTGTAGCTATTTTTTAAATACTGCAGTCAATTACTTCCAGACAAATTAGTTAAGGACAAAACATGTTAGTTGGCATATGTAAAGATTCTAGGTATGATACTCTGTCGTAAAGGTTATTTTTAAAGTTTCCCTGAGAGAATGGAACAATGATCATTTACAGGTGGTTTTACTGTACTTTAATCATGTTCTAGCTTTACCTAATTTGCCACAGTTTAATCACCCTACTGAATGTAATTCTTTCCCTCTAAACAGTAATATATACAGAAAATG